TACTCCATTAACTTCAACTTCAAACCTTATTTACTACTCTTCTCAATTCTCTTTCACTTATTACACAACATTCTTCTACTATTCAACTTGACTTCCTTCTTCCTACTATTCTTGGAATATATTCTAACTCAATATATTACAATATCAAAATCCTACTTAACAAACAAACTAACTTGTTTCTTACTAATCTTTCTAACAATCTTCTAATCTGGTTTTACTAGAAATATAGTTCTAATGGAATTCTCTACAACATCAATAGAAACTAGCTCACAATATTATGCAAAAAGTTAAACACACCAAAATGGCTTTACTACTAGCTCATAACCAAGCAAATATAAATATATCTTACTCTTATCCAATCAATGTGATTCAAAATAATACTTATATATTTTTCAAAATAGTATACATTCTATAATAAAGAATATTTATTTATAGTAATATTTAAAAATATTTAGAACTAGATTTTGTGCTAAGTAAATCTTTAAACTTCAATAAAATATTATTTTTCAAAACAATTTTGTTAAAGCATGAAGAAAGATTACTTAGTACTAAATCTAATATTTTTGTTTATTTATTTTTATACAAAAATTATATAAAATTCTTTAATTATTTTAAAATAGCACTCATGCATATACTCAAAATAACATGTATATACTTAAAATAATACACAAATAAGTATTATTATACAAAAATATAGTAAATAATAAACTTTAAAACTATTAGTATATAGTATATAAAAACAATCTTTAAATAATAAATACTATTTTATAGTTCTCTATTTTATAAAAACTTAATTATATATGCTTGTATATTTTTTAATAAAATTTTTTGAAAGTTTTGATACAAGTAATTATCAGAAAGAATATTAACAAATATTAATATTTTAATATTAGTATAATATTAAATTGCTTAGCAGTATATTTTGCTTACTTAATATATAATTTTTTTTAAATATATAATAATTGCTAGTTTTATATATACATTTCAACCTCATTTTTTTGTATACTTTTTGTTTGCTTTGATTTGTTTTTATTATACTATATTTTTTCTTTATTAAATATATATATTGATTGGTATAATATATTAATATTGACTTAAATAAATAAAAGCTTTGATTGTTATCTTTAAACTAGAAACTTGTTTTTGTTTAAAAAATGATAAAATTTAAAATATGATAAATTTATTTGTATAAAATAAGTAACAAAATAATTTTATCATATATTAATAAATTAATTATATATATTTACAGTATAATAACAAGTTATATTAATTACTCATATTACCAAATCAAATTTATAATTTTTTTTTAAATTTAATTTTATAAATCTATAAAATTAAAATGAAAAAAAATTAATAAATTTGACTATCTAATTATTTAGAAACCTTTATTAGAAGCTTTAAAAATTTTAAATCTATCTAGTAGGGTGTATATTGTTATAAGCAATTTTGTTTTTTGACAAAATTTAATCAGTCCAATTAACACTACATTAATTACAACATTACCTTTAACTGATTACCATATTTTGATAATTGTATAGTTGTCTGGCTTTGATTGCTACATTTTTAGACAATTACTCATATTTCTATCTTTACTAAATCTTATATACAGTATTAGTTTTTATATTTTTTTCTTATAATTATGTTCAATAAGCATTTAGCATCAATTATTTAATTTCATGATAAATTACTTCAAAATTTGCCCATGAATTATTTTATTTTTACTATATGAATTGTTGCAAAGGTTTGAGGAAAAGAATGTATTTAAAGAATAACTCTGTGAAGGGTGAAAGAGGATTTTATATATATGTTGTAGGTAGATTTGGAATTTTGTAGATTCTGAATCCACTTAAGTGGGGATCGGATCTTAAAATGACTTAAGTGGTGATGGGATTTCAAGAATTAAATAAATCTTTTATTTAGTCAATGATTAAATTGATGATATAGTGTATTTAAATAATTTGAATTATTAACCAATTAATTATATCTTTAAATTATTTTTAACCAAAATGTCAAACGAAGAATATCCGTTTATTTCAAAGCTAGCTTTTGATGACTTAGTTAATAAATACCTTGAAGGAAAATCAATAAGCAGACGTCGTAAAACTTTTATTTCACAAACCGACTATGATTTCATTATTTCGGTTCTTCATAAACCCAATAATATAAATTTGGGAACTTCCAAAGATCGACACTGGATAAAAAATACTTTTCAACTTAGAGAATTAGGAACTGAAAACAATCCAAATACACAAATTATCATGGTTGCAAAGAATGAAAATGGTCAGAATTAATATGTACAATATGCCCTTTCAACCGTCTTTATGATATATTATGTAAAATTTACATGGGCATCTTAAAACATGTTGGATCATCTAAAATGTGGGATGTCGTAAGTAAATTTTTATTAATGCTATAATTATCATTATTGTTATCATTTTTATGTATTAAGTTTTTATTTAAATTTTGTATGTATACATTAGAAAACAATATGACTATATTCCACAGTCATTTATTAAAGAGTTCTGCAATGCATGTAAAACATGTACCACACATCGATTATTTCCTAATGATCTTTCTGCAAAACCAATTATAGCATCGAATTTTCTTTCTCAGGTCAAGTTGATTTGGTCGGACTGACATTTCACCTGATAATAAGTACAAATATATCTGTCATGTTTGTGACCACTTCACATGATTTTCATGGGCCCAATGCCTTACAAGCAAGCGAGCTTCTGAAGTAGCAGTATTTCTCTATGATATTTTTACAGTATTTGGAGCACCTATAATTCTGCAATCTAATAATAGTAAAGAATTTACTGCAGATTTTATTTCTGAATTAATGACACTTTGGCTGGGTGTTCGTATTTAATGGGCACCCAAGGCACCCACAATCACAGGGTATAGTTGAAAGGGCCAATGGAATTCTACAGAATAAGCTTGGAAAGTGGATGGAAGATAATCAAACAAGTAATTGGACTGAGGGATTGCCATTAATTATACGTATGTTCTATTATACAAATATATCAACATAGTATAATGATTACAATAAAATTAAAATTTTATTAAACATATTTAGATGCAATGAATGTACAATCAAGTCGTGCAACAGGCAAATCGTCATACTCACTCGTATTTGGGCAAGATCCAGTTCAGCATTTTTCAATACTTGAAGATCTGTACCATAAAAATATTATAGATAAGGAAGAGTTACTGGATAATTTTTTTGAAGATTCTGGTAATTTAATTAAAATGCAATCTGTTTTTTGAACCTTTAAAGAAATTTAACCTTTTATTATCATTATTAGATCAATCTGAATCCTCAATATTAAAACAATATGAATCTTCAGTATCATATAAAACTGAATCGCTATCACCAAATCAAGTTGAATCTTTGTCAAATCAAATTGAATCTTCATTGTCAAATCAAATTGAATCTTCATTAGATCAAACTGAATTGTCATTGTCAAATCAAAATGAATTACCATCACAAAATCAAACGTCAAATCAAATTGAGTCATCGCCTAAATACATTAAGCCTTTATCGAGTCAAGTTGGACCTTTACAACCAACTAGTCTTAATGATAATAATGTATGTATAATTTATATAATTTTTATAAATACTTACATACTATATAGTTATTTTTTATACTTTTAATATAGCTACCGGATATTCAATCACATCACCAACTTTCTCGTAAATATGCAAATGAATCACTTGCCAACTATCGGGATCGAATGAAAAATCAGATGCTAAATAAAAATAAGCATCAACTTGAATATGCTATTAATGATTATGTCTGCATTGCAATTTCAAAAATAGATCGTAACAACATCGACCGGCATACTTTACCTTGTAAAGTAATCGAAGAATTACCAAACAAGATATACCGTTTGCAATGTAAAAATGGAATTCTTAACATAGCTTTTAATGCAAATGAAATTATGCCATTGGGTCCAAACAAATATGAAGAATTAGAAGTTTGTGAAAATGATAGTATTGGTGTTCGAGAAGCTGCAAGAATGCAATCAACATCGACTGTAACCGGAGTACGTTGTAATTGTAAAAGCGAATGTAAAAATAATAATTGTAAATGTAAACGTTCTGGCATGCCATGTGGAAGTAGTTGTCATCCACATAGTACGAAATGTACAAATAAAGAATAATCTGTTGAATTAAATAACGCTCAATAATATAATTAAATTTTTATTAATGATCGATTAGTTTTTTTTTTTTTTTTTTATACTGTACGATGATCTAATCGTTAGTTTTAAAAATTCTATTTCCACTTATGTTGATTTAAGATTCCAAATCAAATTAAGTGTATTCGGTATCCACTTAAGTGGATTCAGAATCCACAGGATTCCGAATCCACCTACAACATATACATAACATATGAAAAAATACATAACACTCGGCTTAAAATATGCTCTATTGTAATTGTAAAAGAATATAATAATAAATATAATAAACATATAATATCTGCTTTTCCAATAAAAACTTACATTCTTTTAATACCCTAATGTTCACGGCTTAAAGCTAAATTGGATATAAATTAAAATCTCTCCCCAAGCCGTGACAGTATGTATGTTGTTGATCATGTGCTAACCTAAAAATTTGATTGGCTGGTACTGTATATCACATAGCGCAGAATTTTTCAGGGTGTTTTTGAGTAGTTCTCATAACAATTTGTAAATTTTTGTAACCAACCTTTTTACTATAAGTTATATGTACCACAATAGTGAGTAGATAAAACGAGAATTGCTAACATGTATGTAGTAACTAATAAAAAAAAATTTTTTGCTATAGAACTACCTACATTAAATTTTGCCCTAAAGTTTGATACACAAAATTAATTATATTTCGCATAGTCACTGCATTTGCACGACGCGTATCTTGTCTGACTTTTATTTACTATTTTAATTTATTACGCTTTGCAAAATTGTGTGACACCTATTGCAATGTTTATTTATTTATTTATTTTTTTGGTATGATGAGATTGTATAGTGTGCTTATAGAGTTAGTCACGCAAAGTTAACTCTTTTCTCTGCATAACATGGAATAAGGAAATTGGGTTGATAATCTGTCATTACTGTTACTATCGGAAAATTCTGGGAAAATAAGAGCCCAATCGGGCGATACAAGATTAATTTATGGAACAATTTGCTGGTGTTTGGAACCAATTTTTATTTTACATTATAAAACCAGTTTTAATCGGGTTTGGCATATGAAAATAAAACCGGTTCCAAAATGCATAATTGGCATATAATTAGCAAATTTTGAATTTTTTAAAAAAAAAATTGAAAAATGGATCGGCGGGTAATTCAAAATGAAAATCAACTTTGCGTGGCCCAATATTACCGATTGAATATATGATTGATAGACTATTTATAATCTCAGAAGTTTTTCGCCATCGTCACCACGAAAATCACAGGTTCACACTTTTTGCAAAAGATACGTATCACTTCACCGACACACATTTGCTGGACACAAGACTTCAACGACAAGTTTACACTTAAATCACTATCAATTAATTCACTGACATGTTCACTTTACCGACAAATTTAATTTACCAACACAATTCACCGGCAATTAATTCGTCGACAAGTTTAATTCAAATCAGCCTATCGTCTAACCCTAACCCCTACAATCATGTGATGTGATTATCATAAAGATATTAGAAGATATTACCCGAATTAAGCCTGTCGGTGAAGTAATTGTAAGTGAATTAAGTATCGATGAAATAAAATTTTGGTAAATTAATTGACAGTGATATAAGTGTTTGTCAAATAAACTTGTCGGTGAAGTGAGCAGAACCCTTCATTTCTTATGAATAACAAAGGTCGATTAATAATCGTATAAATTAAAAATAATGCGGAACATATATAACGCGGCAATTTTGTGCTCTTTTTTAGTACACAATTTTCCTAAAAATGGCAAGTAAACATTTGACTAACATATAGATCATTATGTCAATGAAAATCACTAAATTACAACACTTAATCAGAATCAAAATTTTGTACCACGTTCCCGGCGTTTATTCTCATTTTCCCGATATCCCTTTTTCTCGACAAGACATATTTATGACAGTTTATTTTACTAATAGAAATTTTTTACCGAATTTTTTTTCCAGACATAACCAATTCCCCGACGACTAAATTTCTGAAAAATTTTATTTACAGACTTTTTCACTGACAAAACCCTGTTTTCGAACTCCTGCTCCCTGGCAAAAATTTTTTCCGAAACCTTTTTTACAGACAAATATTTCGATATATTTCCCCAAAAGGATGTTCCTCCGAAAGATATTTTCCCGAAAAGATATTCAGAAATTCCCCAACAATTAAATGAATAAAATTGCATAAATCAGGCCAACTCAACATAAACCAGGCCAATTTTGTCGGTGAAATGGCTGTCAGTGAAATAGTTGTCGGAAAATTAGTTTATACCTTTTTTCGAGCTATCAGATGAACAAGAATTTATTAAATATCTGTAAATTCAGTAAAACATCTTTCGGTAAATGAGCTTTCGGTAATATATTTTTAAAGCAAAAGATACTTTGCAGAAACCTCGATTTTTGCTAAATATGTTTACAATATTTCTATAATATTTATACAATATAATTCCAATATTACGAGAGTTATTATATGATAAATATATGGTAAAAATATTATCACCATATTTTAAAAATATTTTTATAATTCTGTTAAATCACTTTTAATTTGATGTATATTATATATTTGTAATATAATTACAATATAGTTTTAATATTAAAATTATCTTTTTATTATCTAATAACAATCTAACAGTAATTTAATAAATATAATATTTTAATAATATAATAGCAATCTGTTTAAAATAATCAAATAATATTAAATAATATTACTAATATCTTAATATTTAACAATATGATAAAAAGATTGTTAAAAGTAACTTAACAGAATAAAAATATTTTAATTATATTTTAATTATATTTTAATTATATTCTTAATTATTTAGTAAATATATTTAGCAAAATCAAAGGTTTCTGCAAAGTATTTGGGAAATTAACCCGTTCCCGGATATTATCACTTTTTATTATCAATTATAACACAAACAAATAAAAATTACTTAGGAAATTCTTTTTACAGTATTTATCATGCATAACTACATTTACGATTACTTATTTTCAGAAATGCTTCATTTTATAATGATTAATTTTTAATTATTTTAGTCAGCCTTATAATTTTTAATTAAGTGTAAATATTTTACGCTAAAAAGTACTCATTGTATAATGATCAAATTTCAACTTATTTTAACCAGCCTTGTTATTTTTAATAATGATTATGTGTAAATATTATAAAGATCAAAGTAAATTGCATTTCACAAATCATCATAAAGGTTCGGTATGATTGTGGCTGTTTTTTTTCAATACTGAATTAAATTTATGAAAGACAATTGTAGTAAAAAGTAACAAAATTCAATATACATATTCATAAATGAACTCATTTACACTCATATTGACAAATCCTAAATGAATGCGTCACAATCTAATTTAGATAGCTTTAGGATTCATGTAAAATACCAGTAATGAGATAATCGGGAAAATTTTCGACTCCTTAGACTAATTTTATTGTTAATTAAATTTAAAAGAATTTAAATTTCCCTATTATAAGTTCTTACAATGCTAAAATTACGTGCAGTGCATTTAATTATTTAAGTCATACAAAATAATGTGTACAAATTAATCCGATCCGTTGTATCAATAATTCCAAAAACAAAACGGCAAAGTATTAATTTTTTGAATCATTTTCGGATAAACAATTTCAATGTCAAATTTACTTAAATTCTTTAACGTTTTAAAAACTAAAAAATTCGATTTCTTGACTTTTACTATAAATTTAATTATAGTAAAAATATCTAAAGTGATATTGGTATGGGATGTATTACATCTAAATTAAGTGAAAAAGCTGATTCTATCAAATCACGAAACTCACAAATGGAATTTCAATACATTGATGGTAGAAGATATCCTAATGCACAAAGTATTGTATATCCTCTACCAAATGAAGAAGAATCAGATAGATTACACTTACAACTTACAACATTTTTTGGCAAGATATATTTGGAATAGCAATTTTTCTGCTCCCGTCGAGCATATTTTGTCTAAACCGGGATCCAAAATTCTAGATGTTGGGTACGTAAGTGTTATCATGTTAATTTATTAAAATAGAATTAAATGAAATTTGGCAAATTTAAATAATGCGCCGTACAGTAGTAAAAGTTTTTAAATCATTTTAATGGATATGAATTTTTATTAAATAGTATAATAGACAAATTTAAATTTATTTTGATCTATGAAATTATTATTCACGTGCGAAATTACTAGAACTTAAAATTTAGTAAAACATTTATTTAGATTCGCATAATAAGTTATAAACTATGTTTATTTATTTTCTTAATTTTTTGGTCTAAACTCTAATTTAAATTTTAACTTAAACCTTATTTTTATGCTCTTACATATAAATCTTAAAAAATTAGCACTAAAATTGCACTCATTTCATTTTAGATGTGGCGCAGGGTCGTGGTCATTTGATATGGCAACTACGTGAGTATAATTATTTATGTATAATATTCTCACCAATACTCCGGACTGTACTCAGTTATTATTACACTAATAAATATTTATAATTGTTTAGATATCCATTGATTGAAGTTGTTGGATTAGATGTATCACCATACCAACCGAAACAGATAAAGCCTAAAAATTTTACTTTCGTTAAAGCAAATGCTACAGAAGGATTACCGTTCGATGATAACACTTTTGATTTTATATTTCAACGATATTTGACCGCTGAAATTCCAAAAGAAAAATGGCCATATTTAATAAACGAATTAGTCAGAGTTTTAAAGCCAGGTGGATTCTTAGAGGTATCCTTATTTAAGATTTGCATTATTTGATAATATCTAAATAAGATCAATTTTAACATTCATCAAAGATGAAATTTACCGAATACTCGATTTCCCAAAAAATATTTTGATAACTTTAAAACTTGATTCCAGCTTTATCGGTGAATTTCATCTCTAAGAATTCTAAATATAGCAAATTCTTTAATAATCAATTGTTTTTCAATTTAGCTAAGCAAATTTTCTAGTTTATTTGATGCCGGACCTGTTAATCAACGTCTATGGTATACAGGTACTAGTGTTTCGGGCGAAACCTGAATTTGCAGATCATTTGCAGATCAAATTGGGCGAAACTAATTTCGGAGGGTTTCGGACTTATAGGGCGAAATTAAA